TATAGATATAAAACTAAGATACTTTTTAAAAATATATCGTTGTAATCTAATCCCTCAAAAGTTCATAGTAAAAACAACAGTAATTGTGTTTTTCATTAAAAATTTGTAATTGTTTGGTAAAATATTACTGAAATTCACTAATATAAGTAACAACCACCAATCAAGAAGGTTTACATAGATTTGTGATTTAAAATTCTTTGGTGATTAGAAAAGTGCCATCTTGAACATAGTATCTTACTCGACCCGCGCGGTCCCGGTTAGTTTCGTGCATCCAATATGGCTGGTCGAGGTGGTTACGAAGATTCAAGGCAAGTATAGGTTGCAATTTCTTTCGTGTACAAGAATCATTGAGGTTTTCTAAAATAGTGCAACGATGGTATTTAATTGATGCACCGAGCTAGTGAAGAAAAGCTTCTTTTCGTCAATAATTTTACGATTTTAAGGTTAAGTGAGTTTCGATTAGAGTGCAACGCAGCACCTTGCAGATATGGTGCCTTCGACACGCGGCTTTATTTTGGCCGTTCAAACATTGGTGTATTTTACTCATAACATTATTAATGAAGATATTGATTTAAAATTTGTGCATCATATGCAACTTGTTTATGTAAAACTACTGTTTAATATAACATACAAAAGTAATTAACTCTGCATTACTTGCTAGAATGTGTACTTAAGAAACTTAGTGTCCAAATGAGTGTCAGAATTACAGATTTCTAAATAATATTGCTGTTATGCTCTTAATCTTTAATTATAAATATAAAACCTCGAGAAATTTAACAGTATTGTATGATGTTGATATATGAATTTTAAAGTGCTTAATGTCCTTCATTATTTTTTATTAAACAAGGTTAAAGAATAATGAAATATAAAAGTAGTGCTTCATTCTTTCAAAAGTATAACTTATGTAAACAATTCCACATGATACTTATTCATAGTACATAGTTTCGTGCATAAAGTATTTTTGTGAAACAGTACCTTGTTTAACAGAATTTATTTGTGTTCATAAATGTAAATGATTCTTTATTTTGTGTGTAGAGATTATGGAGGTGGATATCGAAGTGGCAGAAGGCCATTGCCAACTGAACCACCTTATACAGCATACGTGGGAAATTTGCCAAATGGAATTGTACAAGGAGATGTTGACAAGATTTTCAAACAACTTAATGTTAAAGGAATCAGATTGGTTAAGGATAAAGAAACTGATAGGTTTGTTGACTAAACCTAATTATAATAGGATTAAGTTTCATGGTTAATGAAATTTATATAATTAAAGTATTATAATTTTTTTTAATTATTTGGTCTTTGAAGTTATTTTATCTTTCTTTCTGTAGGTTCAAGGGTTTTTGTTATGTTGAATTTGAAGATTGTGCAGACCTAGAGGCTGCCTTAGAAATGGATGGAACGATAGAAATAGATAGAAGTCTCATTAAAATAGATGTAGCCGATGGTAAAAGGAATGATCGAGGAGGTGGTTTTGACAGAAGAGGTCGCAGTGGTGGTGGTGGCATTGGAGGAGGCTTTAGGGGGAGAGATGGTGGCCGCGGTGGATATGGGGATGATTTGGGTAGCAAATCTATGTATTCGAGTAAGCGTTATGCTTTGCATAACGCATACCGTTATTACTTTAAGTCTAACATTATAGATTATTTTGATTAACATGAAAGTGCATTTTATTACAGTATTTTAATATGTAACAAGATTTTATAAAATCTATTTTAAATAGTCATTTTATACATAAAATATAATATTGAATTACATGTATATACATGCACATATATGTATATAAGATATATTATTATTGTAAATTAATATTCATTACAATAATAATGTGTAGGAGGCTATGCAACTCAACAAAGTGGCAGGCAAAGTACTACCTGGGACATGAGGGGTAACAGAGGCAACTATAATCAGTTTACTGAGGATGCAGGAAGTGGAAGTCGGGAATGGACACGTAATGCGCCGACTAGAGGATATGCTAGTAAACCAGCTCCTCGTGGTGGAACTGGACCTGAGCGAAAACCATTTCATGATGAAGCCTTTCATAAAGACCCACCTCCAGGTTTGTTTAGATATGAATATTTTATTGAGATAAAAGTACTTAAAATTATAAAGATAATTTTAATATTGTTATTCAAGTTGACACAACTGGAAGAAAACGTCTAGTGTTAGCACCAAGGACAATTCAAGATCCCATAAACGCAATTGCTGAATCAAGTAAATCGAGTTCAATTTATGGCGGTGCAAAACCTCGAGAGGAGAAACTTAATGCTGATGACAAGTAAACACATTATCATCATTACTAGTTTCTAATTCCCTAAATTTCGGGGAAAGGAACTTTCCCAACAAAAACATTTGGAAACGAATACAAGATCCCTTAGTTTCTTCAAATGTAGTGGGGAGAATCTCTTAAGAGATGAAATTAAATTACAATAATTTTTATTTACCCCTAAGGGGGAGTCTTCCCCACAGATACACAATGATAAAAGGTGATTTAATGAGATTCTTAAGTTCTACGTATTCGGAATTTTCAATTTTAATAAAATTCTCTCATCTAGTGCCCTCTCTATTTACATCAACTTTTTAGTTAAAATAAAATGTAATAATAAATTGGGAATTTAAAGTAAAAAGTGTGTGCGCAATGCATGCTTCAAAATATTGGTTATGTGTAATTATAAATGCATATAATTATAATCAATCGTATCACGTGCATGTATATATATGTACACTCGCGCACATACAGACATTCGTATTATATGTGTACATATACATGTACATATACGTGACCCATGATTGTGATACGGAAAGTACATTTTAATATTCATGTCAATTTCATGTTGGGTGTTGTAACAGTTTATAATAATATTGAGGGTATGTGTACAAACTATTACAAATATATACTTTCATTGTACGTATATTTGATTCTGTGCAAGTTGAATCTTCTAATAATATTGTACTCTAGAATAATCCTTGTTTTAAAGAGTACAAAACATTATCCCTCTTTTCATTTCCTTCCTTATAATTTTTATGTTTCACTTTAATATCAATCATTGTATGTGCTTATTAAAATGATTCGTTAATAATTGTTTAATATAAAAAGTCGCATTAGATTGAAAATATTAAACAATTATTTATACGCTTGTGAAATAACGACAAACAATTACAAGAAATAAAATATTTTAGTGATTGAAAAATTATATATCACTGAATGGTATGAGGATAATGTACCGATTATTACGCATTAATATTGTGTAACGAATTAATTAACTATGCTAGTAATAAATGTTGATCATTTGAAAAAGTATCGATGTTTGAGATAATAAATAAAGGAAAACTCGGATTAATGACAAATACTATGTAAAACTATGCTTGTATATGATATTATTTCCTAAATAAAGTAGTCGTTTGCCTTGTATTCGTGTAATGTATCGTTAGAGAATTAAGGGATAGGAGAAAATTTGTGTAATTTGAATTGTGAACAATATGTTACATTCTTAATATATTTTGTAAGTTACTCTTAAATATATTGAAGTGTTTTATTCAAAAAATATTTTCATAAAGTGATTTAATGTTAAATTTTAATATAAACTCTTAAATATTTAACGTATATATACCAAAATTAATTATATCCTGCATTTATAATTAAGTGATTTATATTAATTTATGCCAAAAAAGTATAAGATCTAAAAACAAAGTTATGTTCACGATATTTTTTGTGGAATGCAAAAATTATTTCGGTAGCCACGCCTAAACTTCTCCCCTGTTAGTTACCCCCCTTCTCCCACCTAATATGGATATACAGTAACATTTCCTGTACAGTCGGTGCAATATCTTTATTTCATATTCAATGAATGTACAATAGATATATTTAATTTTCTAATTATGGGTTTTCTTATTTTTCAATACATACTAATAATAGACAAGTAATGCCGATTATAACAAAAGACTTTAAATTCAAATAACCTATTCATTTTATTCATAATATATTTTTCGGGTATGGTGTGATCTTGTTTTCTGTCACAATACGGCGCTTGTTAGCCTGAAATTTAGTTTCGGGTTGTTCTTGATAACGTTTAAAGACGCTACGTAACTATATTAATTTCTTCCTATCATTAGATTGAATTATTACGAAAAAATGTCTAGTGAAAGTATAAAAACGGTGCGTATTGTATAATCGAAATATTTTAGGCATTTTCGTATCTCTTCACTATAAAAAAAATATATTTGTTGCTTATTAAATATCACAATAATTTATTGTATTTCGTAAAATGCAAATTTTAAGTACAATTTTAATATAATTGATTTTTTTTATCTTGTTTTTAATAGTTTGCTAGCCTTGAAACACCTGGATATGTGGGATTTGCAAATTTACCTAATCAAGTACATAGAAAATCAGTAAAAAAAGGATTTGAATTTACACTTATGGTTGTTGGAGAGTCTGGTCTTGGAAAATCAACATTAGTAAATAGTTTGTTTCTTACTGACTTATATCCAGAACGCGTAATTCCTGATGCTATTGGTAAAGTTTGTTCATATATGTTCATTTGTATATTTATACATGTTACATAATAAAATTAATCTATTGATATATTATAAACAGAAAAAACTAATCAAACTGTTAAACTTGATGCATCAACTGTGGAGATTGAAGAAAGAGGTGTCAAACTTAGGTTGACTGTTGTTGATACCCCTGGTTATGGAGATGCAATTGATAATACAGATAGTTTTAGAGCCATTATACAATATATAGATGATCAATTTGAAAGATTTTTACGTGATGAAAGTGGTTTAAATAGGAGGAATATAGTGGATAATAGAATACACTGCTGTTTTTATTTTATTTCACCATTTGGTCATGGGTAAGATATGTTAATTACAGTTTTACTTATTCCCTTACAGTGAAGACAAACTTTTTAATATCTTTTTTATTTTTACCAGATTAAAACCTTTGGATATAGAATTTATGAAACAACTTCATAATAAAGTTAATATTGTGCCAGTCATTGCAAAAGCTGATGTACTTACAAAAAAAGAAGTACTGCGTTTAAAAAAACGAGTTATGGAAGAAATTGAGGGCAGTGGTATAAAAATCTATCCTTTGCCAGATTGTGATAGTGACGAAGATGAAGATTATAAAGAACAAGTTAGACAGCTAAAGGAAGCTGTACCATTTGCTGTATGTGGAGCAAACACTTTACTAGAAGTGAAGGGACGCAAAGTACGTGGACGGTTGTATCCATGGGGTGTAGTAGAAGTTGAAAATCCTGACCATTGTGATTTTATAAAACTAAGGACAATGTTGATGTATGTTGTACTCTTTTTAAAAAGTATATAAGAGATTGAAAAGATTTTTATTAACTACTGTTTCCATATGTTTGTAGTACACACATGCAGGATTTACAAGAAGTGACTCAAGAGGTACATTATGAAAATTATCGCAGTGAAAGATTAGCAAAAGGAGCCCCTGTGCCACCTCGCAGACAAACGTAAATATAATACTATAATTTTTGAAAAACGTTGTAAACATTTATCAATTTATTCTTTTTACTAATAGCATTGTAGACTCCGAAAAAAGCAATTCTGTATCAGAAAAGGATCGCATTTTACAAGAAAAAGAAGCAGAATTACGACGTATGCAAGAATTATTAGCGGTAATGCAGGCACAAATGCAACAGCAACAACCTTAATTACATATGCCTTATGCACAAATGTGTGAAGAAAAGCAAAGCAAATTCTTCGCCATTACAGGTGCCAAAAAGTATATTAAATGATTAATATGCTATTGAAGACATAATTTTTAAAAATTTATAATTTTTAAGAATTTTTTTTCGACAAACGTATTTATAAGACATACGTTTTATTATTCAGTATTTTTGTTTTAAAATACTAAACCGTAAACGAAATGATTCAGTGTCTTACAAAATTGAAAAAGAAGATGAATTAAAAGTACAGAAGACTAAACATAGAGCAACTATAATTTGAAAAACAATTTGTAATCACACAACATAGAAATGCGTGATAAGTGCCTTGCATATTCTTTTTTAATAGAACAATTTACAATTTTCATTATTAAAATTGAAGTATCGAAAATAGTATAATTCATTTTATAAAATCAAATTGTTATCAAAAATGAAAAAAAAAAACAAATGCAGTACAATTAATACTTGGTAAATAATAGTATAGTATTGAAACATAAAGTATAATAAAATATTCAAAATCTTTTAAGTATTATACAAAAAATCTCGGTTCAAAATAAGTATACAAATTGGTAAAGTATAGTACGAATCTACTGGTAAAAGATATTTATATAGTTTGTATAGGTACACATTGCATAACAATTTATGAAGATTGATATTTTACACAAGTAACAGATAAATTGGTGAAAGCATACAATTTGCATATCTCTCAACGTTTTATGTATATTTTTTTACACAGAAATGTTTTAAGACTGCCAATATGAAATTAACAGTAATCATTCTAAAAAATTTACTCTAATTTCAGACTAAAAAATTTACTTTTTGCTGTGATAAGCAATGAATAGGAAATGTAGTTTTGCACGTTTTATGCATTTGCATCATGTAATATATCTTATTTGAATGGCATTTATTTTATTTTTACTTAATAGCATATATTATTAGTTAATTCATTAATTTTATGATTTATATTTTAAAAGAGACTTAGGTGATTCAAGTAATATGTTATGTTAAAAAAAAATGGAGATTTGTGCGGATGTAGGTGAAACGAATATTGATGTATTATGTGAATTTATTTTATAACTATTGTACTTATGTGTATGCATTTTTATACTAAGAACGTTTTCGCGCTTATATACGTATTGTACAGGTACACTCAGAGTGCATTTTATATCTTTTTTTATACAAATATATATCTACTATAATTTCTGACATTATTGATTAAATATTTTATGCGTATAGTAGTCTATGACTAATGAAAATGCTGCAAAGCTTGCTGCCCCAAATAAACCTGCCTTTACACCAGCTAAAACATAATATTCAAGAATAAGTACTAAGTTCACATTTCAATTTCATATATTTAACATAATATAGTACCTCTTAGTCCTATTATTCCACCTGTTAAACCACCAGCATATGTGCCATTCTTCCAATCAGTTTTACCTCTATACTAAAATGAAATTGTAAAGTAATACTGTGGTATAGTGTTTAAAGTAAACTAAAATACAATTTTATATTGAATTTAATGAAACATTACCGATTCTATTGTACATTCTATAGCTGTAAACATACAAGCAAATATAGCAAAATTTTTTGCATAGCTCAGTGTTGTAGTTTTCATTTCTTTAAATACTTCACGAAAACTTTGTTTTTCATCAACAGATATATTTGGATTTACACTAGATGTAAATAAGCCTAGTGCAGCTCCCAAACCATATCCTAAAAAATTAATTTTTTTAAATTGTATCAATACAAATAATAGTTATGAAATATAATATAAATTTACCCATAACACAACTTGAAACAGTTTTCATGATGCAACTTTCCATTGCACGTTGAATTAATTTTTCTTCATTATTCATAAGGTGTACAGGACCCACAGTTCTTGGAATTATAATATTTTCTCTAAACCTTTGCTGAGTACCAGTAAGGTACATAGCTATATTATCCAAGTCCATGTCAGTTATACCTTTTTTCTCACTTGCTTCTGACAATGATGTTGATGATTGGGATAAATTATTGTTAAACATTTTTAATTCAATGTTTTCTATGTTTTATAAAAGTACACCCAAATATTAGCATATATTTTAAATGCTTTAAATAAATTAACTTAATTTTTTTACATTTAAAAGCATAATTATACAGTTATGCATATAACATTATAACCTAAAATAAAAAATATGTATTATATATATAAAAATTACAATCAATTTTACTAATGTTTTCTACCTTAACCTTTCATCGAGAATTTTTATAATTATGAATTAAAAGATATTTAAAAACAAATTTAATACTCTCAATACTAATTAATGCGGTTATGTAATGATAAATAATACTATATTTAATATAGACAGTTGAAATACAATTTCTCTTTTTGACAACAAAAGTACGTACAATTGTACAGCTTTAAAGCAATGCTTATGAATGTACCTGCGTACAGAAGTTTCTTCAATGTAATGAATATTATCCAATACAATTAAAAGTAAAATGAATTTTATTATAT